CCCCCCCCCAAAAAAAAAATACAGAAGGCAATCAGGGCAAAACTGGGAGCCCTGTTTCTTCCAGTAAGGTCTGCTGGCCCCTGCATCATACTGCCTGGGCCCACCCTGGACTTACAATTATGACTTTTTGGTGGAGTTTGGGAAGCATTTTAACCATATTTGCCAGGGGTTCTTAGAAACTTACAAAGTTGGAGAACATCTGGTTCAGAGAATACATACATTAGGAAGCTGGGAGAAGAGAAAATAGTCAAAACTGGGAGACTGTAGCATCTGCAAAGTGTAAAATAATATTGAGAACCTTTTTGGTTTCTATGTGCCTTTTCTTCAGGTTCAAAAATCTGCTTCCAATGCTACTGCAACCAAGGGATCAGTTACCTTCTTGGGAATGTTTCTTCAAGGGCTAAGCTCTGTCATGTTATCTTCCTAGACCAAATGGAATTAGGTACTCTCCTCTTTAGAGAGAGAAGCTATAAAATTTAGATATGAGTGAGGTAATATTACAATGGCCAGGTCTGCTACTTAATTCACTTAGAAATGAAGTAAAATAATAGAAGAAATTGATTTAAATTATATTTTAAAATTTGAGTATCAATCTATTATTGCTTATAAGTATGATGACATTTTCATATATGAAATTTAAAAATTTAATATATTAAAAAAAATCACATAACTCTCTTTCCTCTGTCTAGCCCCTTCTCCTTGTATCTTGTTTATTAAGCAGCTTTTCTCCTGAGCATAGTGAGGCCTCCCTGTAGGCCACAAGACTCTACCACTGTGTTGCAAAGTGACCCAGAATAAGGGGTTTTTCTTTAATTTTTATGGGGAAATAACTCTAGAGTCAGCAAACTTGTATATTTACTTTAAGACTCAGAACTATTTCTGGTAACCCAATAAATGAGTTATTAGGGATTCTTAAACTTGACATAGGACACATAGGACACTCTTTCAGAATATAAATCAATGTGTAGAAGCTCATGATCGCTTTTGTGGTAGCAAATAAGCACTTCTCACACTCTTTTCAATTCTTTGTTATCACAGAGTTTTCTACTAGGAAAAATAGGCTTGGTAGGCTATGATCAAAGCCATTTGAGACTACAGCTCTAAATTATTACAAATCCTAACTTGTACATTAAGTACCAATATATGTTTCACACATCAAGACCTCTTCATAATACATATCAAAAAGGATACCCACAAACAGTCCCATAGAAAAGCAAGTTAAATGCCTGCTACAATCAGTCAAAATATGTCTTAGAAAGCAATCTAAGTTGAAAATATGAAAAATCAGAGGCAGCGAACTAAGGACCTACCAAATGTACAAAACTAAATGATGGGCAAAAAATTAGTCACATGTAATTTCACTGTAGAAGTCCAGCCAATTCCTTTTCCCCTGTTCTTTATTCTTAAAATCTCTCTGAGGTTCATTAATGGTTACTGGATCTTCTAGCTGGATATTCTTCTGAATCCAAGACACTACCCTTATCAGAATAAAGAGATTTGGAAAGTAAAAGTAGATATAGGAGACCTTTTTGTTTTGAGTCAGAGACTCACTCTGGTGCCCAGGTTGGAGTGCAGTGGCACGCTCACGGCCACCACAGCCTCAACTTGCTGGGCTCAGGCGATACTTCCGCCTTACCCTTCCAAGTAGACAGAACTACAGGTGCATGCTACCACACCTAGCTTATTTATTTGTTTGTTTGTTTGTTTGTTTGTTTGATTTATTGTAGAGACAAGGTCTCACCAAATTGCCCAGGCTGGTCTCGAACCCGCGGGTTCAGGCAATCCACTCACTTCGGCCTCCCAAAGCCCTGGGATTATAGGCTGAGCCACTGAGCCCGGCCTAAGAGTCCTTATTTTTTAGAGATACATACTCAAATATTTACAAATAAAATAAAATCTAGGATTAAAACTAATCCAGAAGGGTGTACACAGATAAAATAGGATCAGCTATGAGTTGACAACTGTTGGAACTGCATAGTCAAGACATGAGGGCTCCTTAGATTCATTTCCCAATTGTATTTTTTTGAATTTTTCCATAAACAAGTATGTGCATGCGCACATGTGCATGCACACACACACTCACACAAGGATGAATGTTAGTGCAGACTTTTGACTTTGAATTCTAGCGTAGCCAATGACAATAATCAGAATGTATATTCCAGTCCTAAGGACAGCTCATAAATAGTTCTGATAGAGAAATAAAGGCAACAAATTAATAAGAATAAAGAAAACACTCTGACATGGTCCTAAAGCTAAATTTCAAAATGCTGATTTCCTAACTAGTATAGACTTAAAGCTTCTTATTTACATTTCTAGATCTAGAATGAAAGTGAGGTGAGATAGGTGTCTTTAGCGCTCAGATGTTTGACATATGGTATGAGAACAGTTACAACAGGCCATTATCAAATTGCAAATGTGCTGACAAAACGCAATAAAATAGAGTGGTAAGGAAAGTAGAGGTACTTACCAGCACTACACTCCTGGGCTACTAGGTTAAGAACTTCAACAGCTGCTGGACATTGCTGTATGAATTCTTCACAAAATAAGCTGTCTTCTAAAAGCTGGGCCATGACCAGGCATGCTCTTAATGTTAAAAGATTTACAATATTTCAAAGTCATCAATGTTCATTCTCTAAAAAGTCAACTGTGAAAAATATTTCAATCAATTGTGTCCCCCAATTTACAGCAAGGTTCAAACTCCCCATTCCTTTTGCTTTTTTTCTGAGCTGGATTGTCTTAAAAATATATAAGGAATTTCTGTTTCCCCACACAGTAACTGCTGACACTGCATAGAAAATCAGAGTAGGGAAAAATGGTTGTCACCTCCACTAAATGAAGACACAAAAAGCCAGGTGAAAAGTCAGCCCTGTCACTTAAAAGCTTAGACTGTGATCTATGGGCAATTTTAGAACTCTGGAAGCAAGAGGGATCCAAAAGCTGGGAAAGTCTGCATGATGATCTCTCTCAGCCAATTCAACATGCAGACTAGAGCTTTCTGAGAAGTTCCATTTTCAAAAGAGAAACTTGTTGCTGCTGTTTAATGATAAATAAATGTATGTGTTTTTTTTTTTCTTTCTGACACTAACACCTGTGCACATGCCCTAGTTTTCCCATCATCAGTTTGGAAGGTGATAGACCAGATACATATCAATGTGGCCTGAACCATTTAAAAAGGTGGTAGAATTATTCCTGTGACAAAACAAAGTTCTCTGACCAAGGTAAATCGGTGAAGTCTTATGTACATGGAACATCACATTTCAATTGCTTATTTTTCTTAGGTGAACAGCTAATCTTTATTTTGAAGTGTAGAAACTGGGAAATGCAACAAACTATGGTAAACACAGTGCAAGAGAATGATTTCTGTTGCTCAGCTTGGCTTGAGTTTTAAACTGTGGACCCACTAAGCCAGAGGGGGAAGCAGCCCATCAAGGACCCCTGCTGGTGCTGGCCTGCACCACCTCAGCACATCAGGCAATCTGGGGACGGTGCTCACCTTGTCCTTATTTCAGCCAGGAGCCGAACGACTGCCATCACAGGAGCTGACCCATCTCCTGTTGCAGGAAGTGAGGTGTGAATAGAGAGACTTCCCTCCTGAGGAAGCAACATGGACTGGACTGCCTGTACTACCTTCTCAGTAATGGACAGTTTATGAAGAGGCAATGCCTGATGGCGGTGGGGGGCATGGCAGAAAGTTAAATTCAAGTAGTTAGTTTATAGGAAATGAGGGTGTTATTATTATCTGGAGTTAATTCTCAATTTTCAGTTAAAAAATAAAATCATCACACAAAGTTACAAACCATATCAAAACAATTAAAAATACACTGGAATATTGCTAGCCAACAAAGAAATAAATTTGGTCATCTAGATGAAAATTTTCACACAAATATTACTATTAAATAATTATAACCAACACATAAATATACATTGCAAGTAATATGGAAGATAATCAAGTTATTTGAGCATCTGTACTATGCATGTGCGTTTTATTTTATGTTATTTTTAGAGTTGGGTTCTCACTCTGTTGCTCAGGTTAGAGTGCAGTGGCATGATCACAGCTCACTGCAGCCTCGACCTCCTGGGCTTAAGCAATTCTGCGATCTCAGCCTCCCAAGTAGCTGGGACTACAGGCATACACCACCACACCTGGCTAATTTTTACATGTTTTTTTTTTTTTAGAGATGAGGTCTCACTATGTTGCCTGGGCTGGTCTTAAACTCCTACGCTCAAGCAGTCCTCTCACCTCGGCCTCCCAAAATGCTGGGATTACAGGCATGTGCCACCATGCCCAGACTGCATATGCATATTACTTGTTACAGTACAGTTACCATTTGCAGTGATATTTTATGAAGCATTTAAAAATCACCTTACCTCTGATCTTGGAACACAAAGTCTAGACAATGGAATAGTCAGTGTGTCTGACGCTTGCGAAGTCTTTCTACAGTCTATGGGTGGGAATCTGACTGTAGCTATACCTTCCTGTTCATTGATAGAAGCCACCACTCCAATGCTTCCTGATATTCCTCTACCTAAAACCTGGAGACAGAGATGGATTAGCACTACTGTGGAAGCAGCTGTCTCATCAGACAAGAGGAAAGAGTAAATGTATAGCTATCATTATTGACACCATAGGGGGAGTATATTATAATGCAGATTCCAAGCCCTGGCATGAATTATAATAATATGTCCTAAAACCTAATGGAAAGGTGATCATAACATGCTATCATCTCAAAATTTCAGTTCTAAGATTGGTATTATGACACTACTAAACACAAGTATTGTAATTAATATTATATTAATATTGCGTTAATATTTGAATAATGTACAGCACGGTGTGGATTTGAATTCAAGAATTTTTCAGATTCTTCATTAAGCTTGAGGAAACAGGTTGGTTTTTTTTTTTTTTGCAACTGGATAGATGATACTTGTGTTACAGATATCAATTAATCAATGGCTGTTTATACACAGGAGAAGCAATGACCTGGGGAAAACAGTGGCTGGTTACCTGAACTTCAGATCCTATCTTGATTGTCTCTTTGAAGCCTCCAAGTGCACACAGTGCGGCAACAGCCTGGCGTGCAATTCTCTGAAGTTTGGCAAGTTTCCTTCCACTGCTGCTGCCGTTTTCCAAAATGCTTTCTGCATATTTCCCCAATTGCGGAATGTACATCAGAGCCCGAGACAGAACCTAAATATAAGAAGCAGCCCATGCACTGGGAGTTAAAGCTTTGGTTGTTCTGATGCCACGGATAATGAAGTGTCTACAATAGTGCTGGGCCCCAAGTATTGAAGGAACTCTGGACATGGGAGGAACCAAAAACCTATCAGGTATGGTCAATGACATTTGTCCATATTTGTCTATGCAGTTGGACAAAAATGGAAATATATAACTAAAAAAACCTCTAAAATAAAACAAGTCATTTATCTGAAGGAAAGCCATCCCAGCATACTGGCTACTTGTCAACACTCAATTACCTTCAGGACATGTTATAGGGGGTTCACCTGAAAAGTGACTGTGGAATTGATTACAGATCTCTAGTTTCAGGCAACTGGACTACTGTGTCTACTGAAGACTGACTTACTGATGGGGCATTTAGGCAGTGTAAATCACGCAGAGGCCCCCTTGGACATAGTGAGTACACTTACCAAATCCAATAACCAGGCTGCGTGATCTCCTAATGTCAGTACCAATCTAACATAAGAAGAAACAAGGACTGTCATTCTTTCCCTGAGAATTCTGTCCTGTCTGCTACAAAATTAGAACCAGGAGTGATGGAAGATGTAGGTTAACAGAGTGGAAACTAGTAAATCAAAACCAATTCCAGGGAAAAAATGGTTAACAGGTCTATCTGATGAATTTGGGAAATTTCTCTTGACAAAAATGTTCCTTGCAGGGCATGATTCTAATTCTAATTAGCTTCCTTCTTATTTCCTCAGCTAAGTAGCAACACCGTACTAACCTTTTCTGCTGTTGTGGTCCATATTTGAGCAGCATTTGATTCGGGGGCCATTAGCAAGCTATGTAGCAAGGCGATCACTTCTGCAGCCATGCTGTTTGCCACGTGCCCACTGATGAAGGGTCGGACTGGATCAGTCCTGCAAGTGTCAGTGAGAAAAGTGTCAATGCCCAGTGACAGTGAAAAGTGCAGAAAAGTGGCTCTCAGGGTTAGCATCAGAGGGAACATTTTCTATTTTTACAAGAAAAACTGGATTTCCTTGACTGGGAAAATGGGAAGCTACATTATAAAGAATAAATAACTTCTGTCCTATTCTTTCATGGTATCTGATGAATCCTCTCAAATAGACCTCAGTCATGAGGATCGAGGAAACACCATATTACAGCTACTCCTGAATTGCAAACACAAAACACCTTGCAACATCTTCCCAGAAGCAACACTTAGCTGCCCCTTCTACCCTTAGAAAGAAGTTGATGCATTCAACTGGGGTGATGGAGATGTACTATTTGCAAGTAATAAAGGTAGCAAGATCAACATCTACTAATATTACTCAAAAACATCCTACAGCCATAAATGTCCTCTCAGCCAGGAGCACCTCCCTATTTTTCCATGACAACCTCAGACCTCTCCGGATGGTCATTACTCTCTGATGTACTCCCAGACTCTACTTTAAGAGCAATTACTACAACAGATGGGTCTGCTTAGCCCCCACTCCTGATTTCCCGCAGGTCAAGGGGTGGTAGAAAATGAAAACCCTAAAAACAAACCCATTACAAAGGAAATATGAGATGAGTGTGGACTGGTTTCACCTGTGGGAGTTTTACCTTGCAAGTTCAGAGTTCCTCTCTCGGCAAATGGAGGTTTGGGCAGTTTTCTTTTTGTCACCTGTGGATAATCCACTCACAGTCTCTGGGTTGACGGATTCCACAGGTGGCCCAACACTGACAATGAGGCCCGACTGTGCCCACTTAGTTGCTTTCCGAAGGGCAGCTGCAGCCTCTTCTGTAATCACTTCGCAACAGCCACCCTGGGGGTCAGTTTGGAGACAATTAGAATATTCATTTCACTCTTCCCAGCAATATACTTTTCAAATTTCTTTCCCTCCAATTATCAAACTAATTCAGCACACCCGCCCCCCCCCCTTTTATTTGAGTCAGGGTTTCACTCTGTCTCCCAGGCTGGAGTGCAATGGCACAATCACAGCTCACTGCAGCCTCAAAGTCCTGAGCTCAAGTGATCCTCCTGCCCTAGCCTCCCAGTAACCGGGACTATAGGTGTGTCCCACCACACCTGGCTAATTTTTTATTTTTTATTTTTTTGAAGAGATGAGTTCTTGCTATGTTGGCTAGGCTGGTCTCAAACTCCTGGGCTCAAGCAATCCTTCTTCCTTGGTCTCCCAAAGTGCTGGGATTACAGGCATGAGTCACTGCACACAGCCCAGGCTCATTTTTAAAAAAAATTCAAACATAAAATCTAGAGAGTTAAATTTCCATAAACATCACAGGCCCTCACCCAATCTGAGATAATTATTAGTTATCTAGTTAGTTATCATGTAAGTTCTGACATACATAATCCTGGGGTCCTATCACACACAGCTTTTCAATTTGCTTTTATCAATATTCAATATATCATGGACACTTTTCCATATTAGTATATATAGATCTACCTCATTATTTTTCATATTACACAGTATTTCATTATATGAATGTAACAATTTCTTTAACCAATCCCCTATCTATGGGCACATGGATTCCATTTTGTTTGTTTCTTAAACAAAACTGTGGAGAACGCACTGTCCTAACTCTACCTGCCTGACAGGTGAAAAATGATATGTCACTATTGTTTTTATTTCTTTCCTTTAATTGTGAGTCTGGGCATATTTTTATGTTTTTATGAGCTATTTGCCTGTAATTCTTATTATTTGTTATTCTCTTAGCAGCCTTTCACTTTTCAACTTCAAACTATTTCTAGGCTATAGAACTTTCTTAAAAGAGTTAAGAAAAAATTTCTAGGTAAAAATTAAAAGTTGTCGATTATATTTTAGCATTAATGACAAACCAATTTTACTAGTTCTCTTTAAAACCAGCTCCATTAAGCCACTGACTTTAATTTCTCACCCTGCCTCTTTGTAGAAACTTGAACTATCATTTTTTTCTGTTTTAAATTCCTCCTGGAAACCTACAGTATGGCAAACACTTTTCAATCATGGGTGTTATCGGAGGAGGTTTTCCCCTATGAGTTACCTTGGTCATGTCTCGATCCATCTTCACAACTTTCTCCATGTTGGCACCAGTACCAAGTCGGAAGGGCCGTCCTTCTGAGCTACTAAAAAAAGCAGGCAGAGAGAGGAGTAGACATTACAGGCACTGTCAAAGGTGGGCTGCACACCATGAAACCACTCAGCTACGATCAACCCCTCATTATACGCTAAAATTGACTTTTAAAATCCACAGTTAAAAAAAAAAACCACAGAAAGATGCTCAACCTTTCAAAAGGAAATGATTTATTATGCTTAATTATAGAACTTTAAGGGTCCAAAACAATTGCTGTTTTTAGAGTTGTAATGATATCTAAAAACTGTACATGAAAATGATGTACAAGTGAAATTGCTGAACAAAAATGACGATCTGAATCTAGAATAAAAGCAGAGCCTGGCCCACAAGAGGCATGCAGGACACTATCTAAATCCCCAAGTAAGGGAAACTTACAATAGCATAAATCTGGTACCTTGGGGTAAATGACTGGATCTTCCTTTCTTTTCCCTGACTCCTGAGATTGGCTCTCCAGAAAATCTTTCACCAAATTTGTACTATGATGTATTGCAAGGCCAGGAATATTTCTTGGAGATTTCTTCACCTAAGCTAAGACCCTGCTCGGTTAATGCTATTGTTCCATTAGTGCTTTTGGTTGCCATAATAGCAGACAAGAGATCCAATTATGAGGATGAAAACATCATCAGATCCTTTATTTGAAGAGAAGACTCTTCCATCTGAGCCATAAACACCTGTTCTGAATTCCCTTGTGCTATGTGGCAGACCTTCCCGTTGTCCTGGATCCCACTAATAAGGCCCCGTAGGTTTGTAATATTTAGACAATAATTATCTTTTTACTTCCTTCTTGAGTAAACATACCATTCATACTTCAATGAATTAAAGCTTTTTAAAAAAATGCCTTTCATTTCTCAGTCACACAATGTTATCCCGAAATTTACCAACAGCTGAAAGATGCCAATACCTGAAAACTAAATTGCATTATTCCTTCTCAAAGCCCAAGTCATACTGTAGCCTTCCCATAGATAATAATTCATTGTTAACATGGTTTTAGCTCTCTACTGAGTTTGGAGAGACAGTAGCCAGTTGTGGTTCAGGGCTTGGGTTCTGTGATCAGAGAGGCCTACATCTGTGATTCAGCGCTACCTCAGTTTCTTCATGTGTCACCACAGGGATCACAATTACAGTGTCTACCTGCTCAGGTTAAGAGAGCTGAGGCAGTCAATATATGTAAAGGGCTTACTTAGCACTGTGCCTGCGACATGGACAGTGTTTGATGACCTGTAACTATCACAATTATGTCAGTCACCTTAGTAATGGTTGGAGGACTTCATGGGATGACTGGTCTTCCCGCTTGTGGATGAATATAGAAAGCTTGCCATCCACTGCTTCACTCTCTTCTCCAGGATCTTTATCTCCTTTTAAGGAATTCTTGGGACTGGTTTTCGTCAACGTGGTGTCAGGCTCAGAAGCAGTTGGAGAAAGAACTGTCTGACATCCTTTAAGCAGAAAGCAAAGCCCATTCAGAAAAACAGCAGGGTTGTTTCAGCAGCTCTGCTATATGTGAAAAACTAAACTAGACTTGGTTTTGGAATCTTTCTCCCCTTCTGTCCCTTCTCTCTCTCTCTCTTTCATAACAGGAAGCAGAGGTGCAAGTGCCTAAAGAAGTGTGCATGGCAGTGCCATTCTCCTGTTCGGTGCTCCTCACCTGGAACCACATAATCTGCTAGCTTGGCCAAGAGTAAGGAGGCAATCTTGGAAGCTGGGTCACTGGGATCCTCCTGCTCACTGTTTAAGGAGGGGACGGAGTAGCTCCAAGGTGGGAGCTCCACATTTCCACAGTCTTCTACACTCATCAGTGGCAGCGCCGCCCGGCACAGCTGAAGAATAATAAGGACCAGCTTTGGAGATGGGCGTTGGTCAAGCAGCAGGGAGAGGAGTTTGGACACACAAGCTGGCTGGCTCAGGATGGCTTTACCTATGTGACTCCTGGAAGAAAAAGAAGAAAGGTAAACAACACTAGAAATGTTGATCTATAGACATTCAGAAGCAAGAGTTCCCCAAATGGAATAAACTGAAGAAATCAGATTTCATGAAGAAGACATGGATTTGCATTGTTTTGTTTTGAAAGAGGATTAAATTTTTTATAAATGGTTTATGAGACCAAACAAGGAATGTACTTAAAAAGAAAGATTTTTGAATATTTTCTCATCTCTGATGTTTACTTAATTGAGGTCCTATATTCAGAGTGATTCATGGAACACCAAGGCTTAGGAACCCAAACTAAGTCTTTCAGTTCTGTCATTTGCTCCTTCTTTTTTTGAGTTGGAGTCTCTGTCACCCAGGTTGGAGTGCAGTGGCATGCTCATGGCCACTGTAGCCTCGAGCTTCTGGGCTCAGGAGATACTTCTGCCTCAGCCTTCCTAGTAGCTAGAACTACAGGCTTATGTCACCACACCTGGCTAATTTTTCTTTATTTATTATAGAGACGAGATCTTTGCCAAGCTGGTCTCGAACCCCTGGGCTCAAGCAGTCCTCTTGCCTCGGCCTCCCAAAGTGTTAGAATTACAGGCGTGAGCCACTGAGCCCAGCATTTATTCTTTCTTAATGAGTGCTTCAAGGTCAAAGCTTGCTTATTCATTTTTATTTCATTTTATTTTATTTTTATTTTTTTGAGTTGGAGTCTCACTCTGTCGCCCAGACTGGAGTGCAGTGGCCACTCTGGCCACCACAGTCTCGACCTGCTGGGCTCTGGTGATCCTTCCGCCTCAGTCTTCCAAGTAGCTGGAACTACAGACATGTGCTACCATGCCCGGCTAATTTTTGATTGATTGTAGAGATGAGGTCTCACTAAGTTGCCCAGGCGGGTCTTGAATCCGAGGGCTCAGGCAATCCATTCACCTCAGTCTCCCAAGGCGTGGGATTACAGGCTGAGCTACCGAGCCTGGCTTCATTTTATTTTTTAAAATAGGGTTGGAGTTTCACTATGTTGCCTGGCTGATCCTGAACTCCTGGGCTCAAGCAATCCTCCTATCTTGGCCTCCCTAAGTGCTGGGATTATAGGTGTGAGCAACTTCAGCTGTACCACAGTGTTGTACAGACCTCGACCTTCTGGGATCTGCACAGCTGAACTTGTTATATTCCATAAGGAAGGCGTATAGAGTCCAACAGAAGCTGAAGGACACACAGTTGTATGTGGACAAGTTTTTATGGGCCTCATGGCTTCTACAGGAGCATATTAAACCACCACAGACTATTCTCATTTAAAGGCACAGTATGAGAAAGTGAGTTAATTACAGGCCCTGTCTTATTATTTTTTAATCTCACTATAATGAGGGTAAGATTTTTGGTTACTGAAAATAACTGCATCTACTTGAAAGGCTGGCAGCTGCTGCCAACAAGGTATTAAAGTAAATGATAACATATTATAACTATTCACCTAAACAATCTTTATCTTTAATTTTTCTTGAGCAGAATGTGTCAAAATGGCCTAGTAATTTAGATGTTTCAAAAGATAACCATCACCAAAAGGAATCACAATCATTCAAGAGGAAAGCTACTCCTCCCACAGCTCCAGGCTGGGTATTACATACCTTGAGAGATCATTGAGAAGACTAAGGACATCCTGGAGAGCATCGTTCCCAGCAGCCTGGTTGCCACAGCACTCAGTTGCTCGGGCAAGATGGTTAGTGAGAAGGCTGGACACCTGGCGGGCCAGACCTGAGTGCACAGCCTCTGTGGAGCCACCTTAAAGAAAGAAAAAGATCAGTGAAAATTCAAAGAAGCCATGTGGGTGTGGCCAGCCCTGCCCCTGACTAATTTTTCTTTATCTTGTTCAGTGTTTCACCAATCATCCAGTTGGCATCTCCTCAGTGGGTAATATATACACATAAAACAGATAACAGTTACTAAAGAAAATCATTCAATGTTGGGGGAGACATTACTCTAAATGAAAATAAAATATAATTGACCCATATGTAACAAAGGAACATACTTTGATTAACAGGAAAGAATCACTATTTTACTGGTGATGAAAACATGTGGGGTTTTCTTTTTTTTTGAATTGGAGTCTCACTCTGTCACCCAGGCTGGAGTGCAGTGGCATGAGCAGAGCCACTGTAGCCTTGACCTGCTGAGCTCAGGTGATCCTTCCGCCTCAGCCTTCCAAGTAATTGGAACTACAGGCACATGCCACCATGCCCATTTAATTTTTTGATTTATTATAGAGATGAGGTCTTGCCAAGTTGCCCAGGCTGGTCTTGAGCCCATGGACTCAGGCAAGCCCTTCCCCTCGGTCTCCCAAAGTGCATGAGCCACCGTGCCTGCACATGTTGATTTTTCAATACCTTCTTCTTCTCAAACACAATAATAGATTTTTCTGGATCCTTCCATATTCACATTCCAGAACCCTTCCACCCTAAGCATCCCTTGTAAAAGCCACAAAAAATCATTTATTTCATGAACTTCCCATGCTTTTGGGAGAGTCTAACAGCTGTTTGTTCTGCTTGAAAGTCCTCTTTGCCCTTCAAGGATAACTCACATGTCACCTTCTCTGGGAAGCTCTGCCTGATCCTTTGCACACAGCTGGTCTCTAGAAACTTCTACATTCTCATAGCACTTTATATCCACCTCTACTGTGGCACTGATTGCACTGTGTTTGTTCAGTGGTCTATTTCCCCTACCAGACTGAATTCTTAAAGGCAGGAACAATCCTTGTTCATCTCCTGCCTGACTGGCATATAATAGGCTCTCAAGACATTAAAATGCATAGTGAGTAAATAAATTATGCACACAAAGACCCGAGATGTTATAGGGAAATTTATCCTTCAAGTTTACCTTTTAAATTGGATTAGTCACTAAAAATATAATTTGGAAACATCACCTTGAAAATGCAACTGAGAAACCATTTCAAAAAAATATTTATTTGGACTTTTAGCAAGAAGATAATGGAAAATATCTTCTCAATTTTTGAGGCTACTGTACTCATCTGGGGACTAGGACATTTTTAGTGTCATAGGTAGCTATAAATTGTCGTAAAACCATACTACTGAAAAGGCCATCTTGAAATCAACTGGTTAAACTCATCTAATTATGTAATTTAATAGAGCCTTTCTCCTCCTTATACAGAGCAAAAGTGAAAAAAACTAGCACATCATTAGAAGAAATCAGTTAGCTCTAGAAGGAATCTGGCTTCTCACCTTCTTCTTTTTCCCACTCAACGCAGCGGTTAGCAAGCACCTGGAAGGCAGCCCAGGCCATGGTGGCTACCTTCTGCTTCTTGGTTTGTTTCTCACTGGAGCTGGACTCAGTTTGACTGCTCAAGCTACACAGACGATCCATGAGCTGAACAAGGCCACTGCGTACCAGACACTTCTCTTCGCTCCTGGCAAAGGGACATGGGTTGCACGACATAAACAGAACTGACCAACCCTCAGGAAACTCTCACGTGAGGTTCAGATTATCAAGGAGCATGCTGGTATAGTTCTTTGTCTACAACTTAGGATATTGCCATGTACATTTAAACACAAAACGATTTTCTTATAATGATTATTTATTTCATAAATAGGGAACTTCAAATTCTGATTTGTTCATACAGAACAGCAAAGTAAAAATTGATAGAATCAACTCAAGGTTACCATGATGGGAAAATTATATATTTTATTGTAAGGGGATTCAAAGAATGACTCCATAAATACTTGACATCTTCAAACTATTAAGTGACCTAATATGTAATTTCCTAGGGACCTTTTATTTTTCTTTGAACCTCCATATCTTTACAATGTAATATAATCCTAATGGCTGCATTTGGTCACACAGGAAGTCAATATAAGGAATTTACATAGAACCTCAGGTATCTATTAGAAGAAAAGCTTGTTTAGTTAGTCACTGGATAATCAAAGCAAAACTCCATTTTTTTAAATTAAAAAATACTTTTAATTGGTTGTGCTACAGCACAACTTGCATACAATAAATGGCACTTGCAGGCTTACCTGGTGTAAGGTATGGTACACAAGAGCCCAATGCTATTTGCACAAGCTATAGGGTAGCGAGCACACAAAGACACGACAGAGGTCATGGTCTCGCCGAAGGCTTCTTGGACCTGCTCAACCATTCCACCACATGTGAGTTCTTCAATTCTATGAAACAGAAACCAATGCTCAGACTTCCTGAATCATGTGAAGTATAGTGGCTGTGACTATGAGAGCAGATGAGTTCTTTTGAGAAACCCAGCATCTGGATGAATCCAGAACTGAAGGGATCTTGGAGAACATCTAGCTCAGTGATCCCCAAACCACACAAGACTGCTGGGCAGAACTTCTAGATGTGCCTCAAACACAATGATCCACCCTCAAGAAAAGTCTGGGAAATCCTGGGGTAGGGAAAGTGAAACAGGGTTCTCTACTGTGGGACTTTTCAGAGCCTTTAATAAGGCTGAAGTGCATTGCCTTAGAGCAGGGGAATGATATCCAACATTTCCCAAACTTATTTGATGATGAAACCAATTATTTGAGACACGTCTACAATCTCATGCAGCACTGAATCCTGTAAATGCAATTTTATTAGTGAGAAAACTAAGGCCCAAATGGATTAGCTAAGTGTCTTTTAAGTTCACACTTCAATTATTAGCAGAGTATGAGAGCCCATTGATATAAAATAAGACTTTCTCAATGTAAAAACATAACATAGGGCCATTTCTATAGCAATTAATATTAGTTGAAAATGGAAACTATTAGATTTATCTATAAAAATATGCAATGTAATATTTTTATAATAGCAAACATAATTAAATAAAACTAACCTAAGGTTTAAAAGTAGAGAATGGGTTAAAGGTTCACAAATATAAGGCAGTGCTATACAATCACTAAACACACTACAGGAGATATCTATGGCTAGAATAAAGACACTAAAATGTTAATAGATATTATCTTTAGGTGGTAGACTTATAGGAGGTTTTCGTTTTATTCTTTGGAATTTTCTGCATTTTTTTCAAGTTTCTGACAAATGACATTAATAATTGAGGGCAAAAGGAATAATGTTGCCAGTGTTATGGAGAAATTATTTTGGAATTAGGCTGTGGCAATAATGAGTGCTACTCACTGAATATTTCCTTCTGGATAATTTGTGGTTGGCTGACCACTGACCAGTTTGGCCAATGAGCCAGAGCTCTGACAAGGAGCCTGAGAGCTCTCAATAGTAGTCTCCTCCTCTCTGTAATTACTGTGAGCCAGGATGGACCCAGGATGAGTAACACCTAAAATTTTGTCTTTTAAGCCACAGAGATTTTGGAGTTCTTTCTAAAGAATAGCTTGATCCCTCCTGACTATCACAGAAATTTCTCAAGATACTCACTTTAGCTCTTAGTTAACACATTTTCCTCCAGCCACTGACACTATGACTGCTGAAGAACGACTAGGAGACACAACAGCCCCCAATATTTCCCATTCAGGGCTTGTAGAGAAATGCCTTTTCTATTTCTACTTAAAGATCTTCAAAGCCCAGTAGGCAACACGTATAGAAAAACTCCTCACAAATAAGCTATGTAACTTTCTTCAAAGTTAGTAGCTAAAATTATGTTCTTAGAAATTAATCCAGCAATAAGAGTCACTTAAAGTATACAAAAATGTAGGTAAAAGGATGTTGACTGAAGCATGGTTGTTAATGCAAAAGCAAGAAAGCAAAAAAGCAAGGAAGGAAGGAAGGAGAGAAAGGAAGAAAGAAAAACAACAAATGAACCTATGTGTTCATTAGTAGAGGATAAGTTAAATTAAAACAACAAATGTTCATCCATATAAGGGAGATTTATGAAGCTCTCAAAAATGCTAAACCAGACCTATATTGACATGAAAAGACAGATGAGCAAAGCAGCCATGGTTATAGGAAACCATGTATAACAATCTAAATTAGATTTAAAAATTACACATATACACACTTATGTGTACAAAGAGAATGATATAGCTGTTGATACAACAAGCTTTCAATGAGCAGAGTGGAGTCTGGGAGAAGATGTAAATCAAGAAGTTTTTACAAGCTGTAAATTCATTGAGTTTTTTGCAAAATCACATACTACTTCTATAAAAATATAATATTTTAAGAAAAACATTAGCAAATACCACTGCCTATGTTTTGGCCCCAAGAATAATCTTTGGAATGGCTTCTGCTCATTCTAGTCAGAACAGTATAAACCATCCTGTGACAACTGACCTGGGGCCGCCCTGAAGGACCATTGTCACGGGACCTACAAGATGCGTCACTCCTCCAACCCGTACAGCAGCCGTCAGCAGCTCCCGCATGTGCACCAGGGCCTGCTTGCGAGTGTTTCCCCGTCGCCACCTTGTCTGTGCAGCTAAAAGAAAGCTGCTGCTAGACACCTACAATGCAAGAGAAGGAGGACACCTGACTTCTGTAATTGTCACCAGACCCTCATGCTATTCATCTGTAGTCTGCAAAACGTGACATACAGCTTGGTCAGGGTTGGTGCCAATGAAAGCAAATAGCTGCCCCAGCAAGACACTGTAGGTAGGCTTGTCCCTGCTGTCCTCAATGGCCAACGATTGCAGAAGTGTAAAGGAGCTGCTACGGTGGCTGGTCACATGACGACGCCTAGGAAACACAGAACAGTTTTAGATAAGCAAAACAAGAAACATGCTCAGGAAGCCTGTTCTGATGGATGCATAGCTGCACGCGGGAATTCAACCCTGGCCCTTAGCCATTTACCTCTGATTTGCTCTAGTAAATTCCAAATCTTCATTACCAATCATTTCCAGGTCAGAAGGAGCAGACATGCTGCGAAGAAAAACAGGCTGTCGGACAGCATGAGATATCACCTTTGTTTCAGAAGCTGATTTACAAGCTGGAAAATAGAAATAAAAAAGCTAATATTTCTGCTATTTGATTTCTAAGTACTCACAGTAACAGCTACAGGTAACAGAGAACTTCCAAAGTCTAAGTGAATCTTTGCTTTCTATCAGAGTTCAGCCACCAATCAACTAACATAGCATGCTGATAGCCTTTAGGCCAATTTGTTAAACAAATATTAGGTTAAAAGTTATTTTAGCTTGAGAAATTAAAATATCTTTATAAAACTGTTTTTTCAAAGAAAGGTTGAAAAATTCATTTAATTTCATATCAGTGACCACTTCAACATAAGCATTCTAAAAATAAGAGGAGACCCAGAAAGTAATTTCTGGAAATACATATTTCTTTCCTTTTTTTTTTGGAGTCAGAATCTCATTCTGTTGACCAGGCTGGAGTGTAGTAGCATGATCATGGCTTACCACCGCCTTCCTGAGTTGCTGGGATTACAGACACACACAACCACACCTGGCTAATTGCTTTATTTTTGTAAAGATGAATCTTACTACGTTGCCAAGGATAGTCTCAAACTACTGGGTTCTAGTAATCCTCCCACCTCAGCCTCCCAAAGTGCTAGGATTATAGGTGTAAGCCACCACAACTCTCAGCTGACATATTTCTTAATTTAAATAAATCCAGATCCAATTTTTCAGAGATGGGCTTTATCGTTTCCTCCCCCTTAATCCTAGGTTTATTTAGCTGACTTACTGTCATATGGCAGTACCTCAGCTTTGATCATAGTTTATGAGAATAAATATGATATTGAACTAGAATTTGACTGGCTCTTCCTATAAGATATACTCCTTAAACCTATCCAGGGAAATAGTTGTTTTATTGAAGAATGTTTAATTGGAAAAAGATAAAACTACATGTAAAGACCAGCTAAAAAAAGATGTTGAGAAAGTAGATAAAAAGTCACTTTGTATATGTTTTAAGAGTGGTTAGATAACTTCAATCTAAACAAATTATAAATTTTGAAGATGTTATCTCTTGAGATACTACTGGCTCATTATCTCTGAGGTCAAAAACCTCTTGAAAGGCATCACTAGCCTTCCTGAGAAGTTACATCTATATATGAGACCTTTAATTCCTCAAGGGCTTATATGGCCAGGGATGTAATACGTACAGCAGACCACTCTGGTATGCGATTGTACTACACACACTCAGCACATGTCTCTCTCCTAAACCTGTATCTTTCTCTGAAATTCTCAGGGAGTGTTCTTCTATCGCTAGAGACCCTGGGAATCCTCCCAAATTTCTCATCCTAAGTGAGAGGAGCCTGGGATGACCAGTGGGGATGAAAACACATTTGCCTGTTCCATATGGACCCATCAGGCAATGGGACTAGACAACATGGACTCTTTAATTTAATAAACATGTTTATTCAACTTTTTATCTCAGGTTAAGAATGAAGACTTGTGAGCTATGCCATGCTATGGATCCTGACTTAGGTAAGAAGACTCATTGAATTTACTGAGAGATGTACTTTTAGGCTAACAATTAAAATGTAACCTAGAAGCTGGGCTCAGTGGCTCAGCCTGTAATTCCATGCCTTGGGAGTCTGAGGTGAGTGGATTGCCTGAGCCCGCGGGTTCGAGATCCGCCTGGGCAACTTGGCGAGACATCATCTCTACAATAAATCAAAAAATTAGCCGGGCATGGTAGCGCGAGCCTGTAGTTCCAGCTACTTGGAAGGCTGAGGTGGAAGGATCGCCGGAGTAAAGCAGGTCAAGGCTGCGGTGGCCAGGAGTGGCCACTGCACTCCATCTGGGCAACAGAGTGAGACTCCAACCCAAAAAAAAAAAAAAAATGTAACCTAGAGAAAGTTAATTTACAGAAGTCATGTTAGAAGGCTCCACATAATTACTAAAGATGAAATGCAAACTCAGCTTCAAGTAAAGAGGAAAAAATGATGCATTACAAGATTCAGTGTTGACTAATTATATATGTTACTGTGAAGGCCAGAATATACATGTCATTACCTCAACTATATAGAAATGCATGTCACTGGGCTCCTTAGATCCCCTGAGAAAACCTTAACAACACTGATGCTCAGTTAATTTACAAAACGCCACAGGAAGTTAATGAAAAGCATGTCTTAAGAGAAGTACAAGGTAAAGTTTAAAATGTTGAAGCCCGCCCCCCCCCCAGGAAAAACTCTGAAGAATTTTTTTTTTTTTTTTTAATTTATTGTAGAGATGAGGTCTCTCCCAGTTGCCCAGGCGGGTCTCGAACCCGCAGGCTCAGGCAATCCACTCACGTCGGCCTCCCAAAGTACTGGGATTACAGGTTGAGCCACTGAGCCCGGCCAGAATATTTTTTTTAAGTTGCTGATATATCTTTTATGAACAGACTAGGATTAAAAGCCTATAAAAGGCTATCTTTGAGGGGTACCTGGTGTTTCTGCAGGGGTCCCTGAAATGCTCCTTGTGAGGCTTGACTGGGCAGCAATGGTGACATGCAGCAACAGCTCAGCCCGGTTCATTAAACTCTTTACTAACGTCTTTGTTTTAGCCAGTGGGTGTGAAGGTTTCTGAATAAGAGAATTCACTTCTTGTAGGAACTTCTCCCTATAAAGAAAAACTGATGGGCATTTAGTTGTTCTTAAGTTTACCAAAAACAATTATAAAAATAAAATTACAAAGGATAGGAGAAGACAGAGGGGAAACTAAGCAAAAGTAACTTAACACTGCTTACCTTCCCTTTCCCCCATCAACTTTGAGTTCCTGTTTCTCAGTCTCAAACGCCTATGCTAACTTTTAAAGATTAAAATCAGAATTTCCAGTTTACCAAATGAGTTCCAACTCTAAAATATTTAGTGAACGCACATTTAAAAATATATCTATTAAGAGACTAGACCTTCACAATGTGTTTTGAGCACCAAGGTGATAAATTAGTCTTGATAGTTATTAGCATCACTAACCTCAGTGACAGAACCATGTTTTCAAGATCATTTCCATCAAAGGAGACTTCCTTCATTGAACACAAAAGTTCTAGCTCTTTCATTTTGTTCTAAAGAAGGAAAAATCAAGAAAAGATGGTATGCAGGATCTGCAAAAACCAAGTTTTACTGTACATATGTTAAAAGTAACAGAAAATTTCAGAGAAAAACCACCACCTTTGGTCCATATTTCAATGCTTCAAGCACATTTATAAATCATTAACATTTTAATGCTTAAAAATGGCATTGGCTACTTCCTGGGGATTTCCTCAGGGTTTATAGTAATAATTCTAACTGCCTGTTTTTTGCATTTTAAAGTTTGAAAGCATAGTTTGACAATAATGAGAACACCTTTTGATTTTTTATTTTATTTGTTTAATTATTTGAGTCAGGGTCTCACTCTGTCAACCAGGCAGGAGTGCAGTGGCCCAATCACGAATCACCACAGCCATGATTCCTGCGCTCAGGTGATCCTCCTGTCTCAGGCTTCTGAATATCTGGGACTATAGGGGCACACCACCATGCCCAGATAATTGTTTTTTAGAGACAAGGTCTTGCTATGTTGCCTGGCCGGTCTTGAATTCCCGAGCTCAAGCAGTACTCCTGCATTGGCCTCCCTAAGTGCAGAGATTACAAGCATGAGTCACTGCACCCAGTCAGATTTTTAAAATAAAACTATTAATCAGTTAAAAAACAATTTAGGAGTCTCTGAATAGCTGAACATAAGGCAGTTTCTGGAGGGTGGGGTACCCAGGGAGGGCATGAACGCTCCATACCCCTTCCCCCATACCTCACCCTACAAGTCTTTCCATTTAAGTGAGCTGGTTCCACCCTGAAGGCAATATGGTGTCATTTGTTAAATTTAAATAAATACACTTAATGAGTATTTAGTTGTTTTTTTTTGAGTTGGAGTCTCACTCTGTCACCCAGACTGGAGTGCAGTGGCTGCT